TCTTTCCTCCCTCACGAATCACTGCAAATTTTATATTTGGATGACTACATTTGTCTGTTGAACTTATTATTAACTTTCTTTTGTTTTATTGTTCAGTGACAGGTAGCAACTACTGAAGTGCATGGTAGTGCAGTGCGTCAAAATATGGGTGATGCATTAAATGAAGTGCATCGCAGAGGTGGTACTCTTGCTGCTTCTCCCAAGAGGGACATTGCATTGTTTGAAGGAGACAAAGATTTTGAGCCCCACAATGGCATTGAATTTGAATCCCATGAAGCAGCATATTCATTTTATCAGGAATATGCCAAATCTATGGGATTCACTACTTCAATAAAAAACAGCAGACGCTCAAAGAAAACAAAAGAATTTATTGATGCCAAATTTGCGTGCTCTAGGTATGGAGTTACACCTGAGTCTGACAGTGGGAGCAGTCGAAGACCAAGTGTAAAGAAAACAGATTGCAAAGCTTGCATGCATGTGAAGAGAAAGCCGGATGGAAAGTGGATCATTCATGAATTTATAAAGGAACATAATCATGAACTTTTACCGGCCTTGGCATATCATTTTCGGATTCATAGAAATGTGAAATTAGCCGAAAAGAATAATATTGATATCTTGCATGCTGTTAGTGAACGCACCAGAAAGATGTATGTTGAAATGTCTAGGCAATCTGGTGGCTGTCAAAAAATTGGGTCTCTCTTGGGTGATATAAACTACCAGTTTGACAGAGGCCAGTATTTGGCTTTGGATGAGGGAGATGCCCAAGTTATGCTTGAGTATTTTAAGCACGTACAAAAGGAGAGTCCAAACTTCTTCTATTCTATAGATTTAAATGAAGAGCAGCGTTTAAGAAATCTATTTTGGATTGATGCAAAAAGTATCAATGATTATCACAGCTTTAATGATGTAGTTTCATTTGATACCACATACATAAAAAACAATGACAAGTTGCCATTTGCACCTTTTGTTGGAGTGAACCACCACTCTCAACCTATATTGCTTGGATGTGCTTTGGTTGCAGATGAGACTAAACCAACATTTGTTTGGCTAATGAAGACATGGCTTAGAGCAATGGGAGGGCAAGCTCCCAAAGTTATAATCACTGATCAAGACAAAGCTTTGAAGACAGCAGTGGAAGAAGTCTTTCCAAATGTACGGCATTGCTTTTCTCTTTGGCACATTCTGGAGAGGATACCCGAAAATCTCTCTTTTGTGATCAAACAGTATAACAACTTCTTGCCAAAATTTAACAAGTGCATTTTTAAATCTTGGACAGATGAACAGTTTGACATGAGATGGTGGAAAATGGTCACTAGATTTGGACTCCAAGATGATATATGGGTTCAGTCACTGTATGATGACCGGAAAAAGTGGATGCCAATTTACATGGGGGATACCTTTTTAGCTGGAATGTCTACTCCTCAGCGCTCTGAAAGTATGAACTCTTTCTTCGACAAATATATTCATAAAAAAATTACCCTTAAAGAGTTTGTTAAACAATATGGGATAATTCTTCAGAATAGGTATGATGAGGAAGCCATTGCAGATTTTGATACATTACACAAACAGCCAGCACTTAAATCTCCTTCACCTTGGGAAAAACAAATGTCAACAGTTTATACCCATACAATATTTAAGAAATTTCAAGTTGAAGTTTTGGGTGTAGCTGGTTGTCAATCTAGGATAGAGGCTGGAGATGGAACTATTGCAAAATTTATGGTTCAAGATTATGAGAAGGATGAAGAGTTTCTGGTAACTTGGAATGAGTTGAGCTCAGAGGTCTCTTGCTTCTGTCGATTGTTTGAATATAAAGGTTTCCTTTGCAGGCATGCATTGAGTGTTCTCCAACGTTGTGGTTGTTCAAGTGTTCCATCTCATTATATCTTGAAAAGGTGGACCAAAGATGCCAAAATTAAGGAATCAATGGCAGATAGGACAAGAAGGATACAAACAAGGGTGCAACGTTATAATGATTTGTGCAAACAAGCTATTGATTTGAGTGAAGAAGGATCATTATCCGAAGAGAATTACAATGTTGTTTTTCGTGCACTTGTTGATGCCTTGAAGAACTGTGTACTTGTCAATAATTCTAATATCAATGGTGCAGAAGCCAGCAACAGTGCCCATAGCCTTCGTGAAGCAGAAGAAAATCAGGGTGCTCTTGCTTTGAAACCAAATAAAAAGAGGAATGCAGCTAGGAAAAGAAAGGTCTGTTCTAAGTTTTGTGGTTGATCTGTATATTTGTTAAGTAGTTTTGGCTTTTTTGAAAAATCGGGAAATTGATTTGAGAATTTTCTTTTACAGGCACAATTAGAGCAGGATGTTATACTTGTTGATGCTCAAGATAGCCTGCAGCAAATGGTTTGTGTTACCTCTGTTTCGATCATGATCTATATTAGTTTTTATGAAAAAGAGTACATTTAATCCCTTAAAAGTGCTTTACTATTTTCGCAAATATCCATTGCATTATATCAAGACCGGAAGGAGTTCTATAGACTATGTTTCCTGTAACTTGTGCTTTTATTCTTTTAGGATAATCTTAGCTCGGACGCAGTAACCCTTAATGGGTATTATGGTTCCCAGCAGAATGTGCAAGGACTGGTATTTTATACTTGTTGATCAATAAATGCTTACATATATCCTGTATTTTAAGAGTCAATGCAATGTTTAATAATTTTGGTTTTGCAGCAAGTACAGTTGAACTTAATGGAGCCGCCTCATGATGGTTACTATGTTAATCATCAGAGCATGCAAGGCCTGGTAAATTGTCCTAATCATTGATTATAATTAGCAGATAGTGTTATATTCTTGTATTGAAACAGGATTATAGATTGATATCTATATCATTGTAGGGTCCTTTGAATTCTATGGCTCCAAGCCATGATGGGTTTTTTGGAACACAGCAAAGCATTCATGGGCTGGTAGAGTACTTTTTCCTTCTTTTTTTTTTTCTATGAAATTTTGGGACGTCGGATTACTTGACTAACTTTAGCATGATCAATAATTGCTAATATGTTGGATCATGTAGGGAGGGCAATTGGAATTTCGTCCAGCTACTACTTTTGGATATAGCCTTCAGGTTTGTGCATAAAATGGGCCATATAATAGCATATGAACATGGAATGAAAGAATTTATGCTTTGTTTTCACTGTCTTTAACACAACCTTGATTGCAGGATGAACATGATCCCCAGTTTCATGGCAACAGTTCAAGAAATACTTAGTAAGTTGTCTCTTCTGCAAATGGCAGTTTCCTCAGAGGCTGTCAAATTTCTATGTGATGATTGAAAAGACCATCAATGGAACTTGGGCACTTCATTGGCTCGACAACAGTTCATATTTCAAAGTTTCTGTAACTATATTCACCAGTGAGGTTTTGTTTACCTCATCTTGATAATATTTCACCTTCCTGTATTTTACACGGAAGTTGCCCATTGTAATCTAATTCAGGCATACGAGATGTCCATAGTCTGTCTCCACATGCCTTCCCTGCATTGTGGTGACCACCTCAAAATGATTATATGAATGAGTCAAAAACCATCTTTCTTTATGCATTGTCATGTGTTCCTGGTGGCACAAAAATTGGGAATAAACTGTTCTCCCCGATTGAGTAACACGAAAACCTATGCTAGTATGCTGAGAAAGAAGATAGAGTTCCTCACGCGAGATGCAGAAGTTGTTGCCGTCTGTCACCAGAACAAATACAAGCACGTCACTTTCCATGGTAGTAATTATACGAGGTAATCGTAACTGACAACATTTCCTGTTAGAAATCCAGTGCCATCACGGACCCTTTTCCGAGATAGTTCCAACTGTTGTAGTTTTCATATTGTATGTAATATAGTTGATGGTATATGCGTTACAAGGTTTTGTAGGGGTCCTCCCACATCTTTTAACCCAAAAAAGCTTTACAAGTTCCATTGTCGTATGTATTAGAACGATTATGTTATTTGTTCATCCAAATTGGAGCTTGCCAATTACAGTTAATGTTTATACCTTTCTGTATAAGAGAACTGATTCATGTTAATAAGGTTTCTGGTTTGGAGGGATTTCATAAGTTTAGCCGAAATGCGTTCCTAGAAGTAAAATTGAGGAGTGGTGAATGGGGGAATTCAACTTAAATAATAGATAGCGGAACAGCTTAATACACGTATGGTCCTAATTGTGAAATTAGACATTAGAAAGTGTAGATTATTGAGTCATCATGGTCCTAATTGTGAAATTAGACATTAGAAAGTATAGTTCATTAAGTCATCGATTCAACTGTCAATTCAATAATATGATTAGTAAAATTATATATAAAAAAAACTTATTAGAACTATTAAATATTTCGTGCATTACATAAGTATATCCACAAATAAGTAATAAGTAGAATGCAAAAAAAATAAATAATAATAATATAAAAATATCATAAAATAAAAAAAAAATCATTTTCAAACATAAAAAATCAAATATATAAAATAAGAGCGAAACGTTGCATGACTTGATTAATCATTCTCTTAGTTAAGATGTGACAATAATTGAATAATAAAATTTGTATTTCTTTCAAAATATATATTAATATATAAAGGGAATACCGGATACTACTTTCAATAACTACTTTTGATTTACACTTTTACATGCACTATTTTATTTTATCCTTTATTTATTTTTCAATAACTATTTATTTTTATGAGTCACTTCTCATTCTTTTCATTATTTATTTATTTATTTTTTTAATATAATGCAGACACATAGTGTCTTTTTCCTGCTAGTATAATAGTAAGTTGTTACGAATATATTTATAATAATTATAATTATTATATAAATATTTAGTTTAATTGATCAAAATTTGGACACATTTGCTTCTCTTTTGAAATTGCTGCCAGATAAATGTTTTTTTTTCTTTTTTGAAGTTTTAGACAATTATCAAATTGATTTCTTGTATTTAACTAGATTTATATAAAAGGAATATTTATAAAAGCAGGAATAACGTATAATTTAAATGATTTACATTACATAAAAATATTGAATATTATAATTTATTAATATAGTTACCAAATTAATTTAAATTTAAATATATTGAAATTTTGTAAAGAGAGAAAAAGGAAAAATAATTAATAATTTAAATGGCCGTTACAGGGTAAATGATGCAACGGCTAGTTTTTTTCTTGTTCCATTTTCGCAACTAAAAGGAGGATTCTACTCCGCGAACACTAAACGGTAGCAATTATCATATTCCGTGTTTTTTTTTTCAATCTGAAACTGAGAGTAAACAGACAGATACAGTGATGATGGATGTTGGGTCAGAGAATCACTCCCCCGATGCCTGTGCTCCTCCTCTTCATTCTCCCACCGCCTCCGTCAATTCCAAGATCGGAAAGGCAAGCCTTCTACTTTTTATTTTCAATCGTTTTTCGTCCTGAATTTCGATATATTCAAATGTACCTTTTGTTTTATTTACGATTCTGCAATCCTCCTTTAAGTTTAGTGTTTACTGATTCAAAACCCTAACCTGACGAGGCACTGATCCGTTAGTTTTTCTGGATCCCAATCCCTAATTTTATACAATAACTAGTAATAGAGAAGGCCTTGTTGCTCGCGGAACTACTAGCGCGTCACACTCTGCTGGATTTTGAGTAATTCCAGATATGAGCGTTGTTTAGAAAAGAGTATAAACATTCAACCATAAATCACTTGCATGAAAATCATTTTAAACCAGAATCAGTTTTGCTAAAGCTCACCCAAAGTCAATAATAGTTCACAGAGAAGCAACACTACCGTGAAAACATGCTTAAGACTGGCAGTGAACTTGATGAATTAGTGAAGTACACACAGCAATCATCAAATAATTTGAGAGTTCGAGCATATGATGATATATTATTGTCTTCAAAAGTTTACTAAATAGTTTTTTCTATGCTTTGCAGCTTTATTTATTTATTTATCTATCTAACTGTACTAATTGTTTGGCTTAGCCGTTAACAATTCTGTGTTTTCTTTTATTGAATGGTGCAGAATAAATTGACAAAGGAGGCTGGTCAATCTACATCAAGTGCTCTTAACAAGTTCAAATCACAAATTAGAAAGCCTCCTCGTCGTAAAACCTCTCCTGTTAACTGGTTCCCACGCAAAAAAGGGGATACCTACATGAATAGGAAAATTAAGATGCTTCAGGTTTGGCCATGTGCATACATTTGTTACTTATTATTTGATTACTTCTGAATTCCAATGCTAACTCACATTTGACCTTTTCAGGAAGTAGGTGGTATGAATTTGACCCTTGATCAGACGCTAGGCAGTTCTAATCCACATTATTCGAGAGTTCTGAGAGAGAAAATGGCAGCTAAAGAAGCGGCAAATAAGGCAATGGAGGCCCGAAGAGGTGCATTAGTGGAAGCCTCTTGGTGTTGTATTTTACGTGCTGCCAGGTAAAGTTTTCTGCAAACAATTGCTTGGCATTGTTGATTCTAATTTGTATATCTGTATGTTGGATTTTATGATCTGTCAGGTAAAGTTTTCTGCAAACAATTATGCTCAGTATTGTTGATTTTTTATTTGTATGTTAGATTTTTATTCGTTTTTCATATTGGTGTTTTCAGGATTCCTAGTGATGATGCAGAGGCCCAACTCTTGAAGGCAGAAAAAAGTGCAGTGGAGGCTTTTGAGACGGCCCAGGCTATGGGTGTTATTATGTTTGACTTGCCAAATTGCCCTAGCAAGCATTGTCAAATAGAGACATCCTCTGTTAATGGAGAAGGATCATCTACCCATACCGTTACTGCATCTTTTGAAACTGCCTTTGAGGTGGACAGAGAAGTAGCTGCTGCAGTCAAAACTGCATTTATTAGGCTTGCAAACTGTCCTTCATTCAGTAAAGGTGAATTTAGAGATCTGCTAAAAAAAATTAGTGAAAATCCAGATACAGATGAAAGTAATCTGGACTTGTCAGAGTTCTCTTCAGAGTATGAATCTGAGTCTGGGTCAGAGCTTAATTCAGTCGCTCAAAAGAGTGACTTCAACTCCCAAGACTTGGAATCCAAAATACCATTCCTTGGGATAGGTCAGAGGAAAAGCCGGAAGAGACAGTCTCTTGATAACAGAATAAAACTTGTGGATATGATGATTGAGAGGTTAAAATGTTTGCAAGAAGATGAACTTTCTTCTCTTGCCACTATAGTCGCAACTTATGGTTTGAATGCTGCCTTGGCTGAAGTACAGAATGCCAAACTGCACAATCCAGACTCTACTACCAAGTATTCATCCTCTTCAACAATGAATTTTCCAGCAAGAAGAATGTCATCATTAGGATTGGGAAAGTCAGCCTTGGATGCGATGAGAAAGAAGCAAGTTGAGCCAGAATTACCAAGCCTAGATAAGTTTTTAGTTAAGCATATGACAAAACTTGAAAGAGAGGTTTGCGAAGCCAAAAAAACCCAAAAGAAGGAAACAGAATCGGTCAGGGACAGGGATCGTAAATCTGTCAATGAAACTCCAGCAGAGATGGTACCTGATTTGGGAAGTATTCTAGTGAAGAATTATTCAAAATTAGAGAAAGACATCAAGGAGGCAAAAATTAACTCAGGAAAGGAAATGTCAGAAGTTCCAAGAGGCATGCCAACCAGTCGAAAGGATCACATAGAAGTACCAAGCTTAGATAAGGTCTTAGTGAAGCATGTCTCAAGACTAGAAAAGGAAGTCCAAGAAGCAAGAAACAGAACAATCAGTATGAAAGAAAAAATTTATCTAGATACGTCAGGTGGACTGGACTCAACTTTCTATTCTGACGAAGCATTGGACAGGAAAGAAAACATAAATTCAAATACAGAGATCAATTCAGGGGAAAACAAAGATGGGTTGGAAAAAATACTGAAAAAGCCGGTGCACAGATTGGAAAGGGAGAAGTTGCATGCATTGTCACAGGGAAGCCATGTTGAAAACTATAAACAAAGAACGAATCATGAAGCAAACAATGTCGCGGATTGTGAGAGCTTGGATAAAGTTTTAGTGAAGCATGTCTCTAGACTGGAGAAGGAGAAAATGAGGATCAATTTGGGGGAAGAATGGGGGCAAGTTAAGAGAAGTCACAGAAATATCCATTTGGAAACAACTGAAGGTGGTCTGGATCAAGTCTTGGTTAAACATAAATCCAGACTTGAGAGAGAAAAAATGGTTGCTGCTCAGCAGCCGGAGAACTCAGTTAGTCTTTCAAAGACCCGTCGTGAAGCAAGGGAGAGAGAGTTTCAAGAAGCTTGGGGAGGACTGAGCTTAGGAAACATCCATTTGGAAACAAATGAAGGTCTGAACAATCATAAATCCAGACTTGAGCGAGAAAAGAGGGTTGCCACTCAGCAGCCAGAGAACTCGGTAAGTCTTTCAGTGACTCGCCGTGAAGCAAGGGAAAAAGAGTTGCAAGAAGCTTGGGGAGGACAGAGCTTAGGAAACTCCATTAAACCTCGTCTCTCCAAGCTTGAAAGAGAAAAGGTTAGTCTTATATATAGCACCTCTGATTTAGCTTTTGGAACTTAAAAACCTTTTCCAAAACCAACCTGCAATTCGTGAGTGCTTGACAGTTGACGCTCTAAATTTTTACTCGTATTCTTTTTCAAAATCTTTTTATTTTGGAATGACAGTTGTAAAAAGGTATTGACTCTGCCCAATCTGCTTTGCTTTGTTTTCTTTTATCTAGGCTTCTTGGATTAAAGCTGAAGAGGAGGAAAGGAAACAAGCAATGAAAGCAATTTGATAGTAATTTTCCATACAATTTCCTTCATTCATCCTTGTTGATAAAAATGTGCTTACATATATGATATATCGATTGTGTAATGTAATGCATTGGCTTCTTGATTGTACTTAAGCTTCTGGCGCATTGATTTGGTCCCTTTATGAAGGAAGTCGTTGCGACCCTGCTTTGTTTTCTCTTCCTTTTGTATTTTTTTTTTATAATAATTTGTGATGCTGCATATAATAACGAAATAAATGATACTCTCAAACCTCTTACAAAAATATTTTATAAAATACACGTATACTTTTCTATAATGCCATATGTTTTGACTACTTTAAGTTATGCAATTGAATAACTGTAAAAAAGTTGGTAAAAAAATCCCACAAGAAAGTATATATAGCTTGGGAAGGCAGGGAGTTGAGTTCATAACATGGCCCTTTTTCTTTCTTTCTGCTGAGACTCTTCTTCTTCCAAGACAATGCTTCTTTTGTTCTTCGTTCTGACAATGGTAGCTCCCAGCGCACCCACACCCACGACGCCAACGCAAGAAATGAACAACATCGTGGACGCCCTGATAGGCGCGGGGGACTTGAGCGCGTGGGTCTCCATCCTCTCCTCCGCGAACGCCACTGGTCTCCCGGTGAGCGCGACCCTCTTCGTCCCTCGCGACGGAACCGGCAACCGTCCCCCGCCGGACCCCTTCCTCCTCCCCTACCACGTGGTCCCCCAGCGGCTCCTCTTCTCCGACCTCCTCCTCCTCCCCCGGCTGGCCCGCCTCCCCACTCTCCTCGGCGCCAAGTCCATCTCCGTCACCGACAACTCCCCCGGCAACTTCTCCCTGGACGGCATCCCCCTCACCCACCCCGACCTCTACTCCACCCCCTCCCTCGCCGTCCACGCCCTCCAAACCTTCCTAAACTACGATCTCTTCGGCGATGGCCTCCCCCCGCCGCCTCCGCCTGTTGCCTACGCCATCTCCACCCACTCGAACCAGGCTGCGCCCTCCTTTTGCTCCCGCCCCGACGACACTGTCTTGCTGCTCTTCTTCTATTTTCTTCTTCTGGTGCTGCTCTGATAAGACAAGAATTATCAAACCTCACTTTCTTTAAAGTCTTGGTTTAATTCTCATTTTGGAATAGAATAGAGCTCTTCTGTTTGTCAGCCAATTGGTTTGTATGTACTTCTGTATCACTATTCATGCTTCCACTACTTTCTTTCTAATGTATATACCAGGATTATGCACTCATTTTTCTTTCTTTTCTTTTTCTTTCCCACTTTGAACATTCAAATTACTTCTTGTTCTTAGTTTCATTATTTCATCACAAAATATATCACATAATTCATCTTTAATACGAAAGCAACTATTTTTAGTGTCTGATTTTATTATCCACAAAATATTTCCCTTCTAATTACTTTTTTCATTTTATCTAAAACATTTAGAGTGTCTCATCATCTTTTTTTGGCTTTCACACACTAAGAAAAACTTGTTCCAAAAATGCAGCGTTCTTTCAAATATTTTATTAGTAATTCACCACACGAGACTTGAGCTTTAATTTTTTAGTCAATTTTGAAATGATCTCAAGATTCAAGATTCAAGAAAGTTTATACCAAGCAATTGTTCATCTCCATTTCATTTTCTACGGCTAACAGAATATAGAGCTCAATTCTATTCCAAGAAAATAAAGAGTGCATGAATGGAGAACTAAGCAAACCAAACCAACACATGAAAATATTCCGAAACGTTATCCAAATTCTTCTTTACTTCAAAGAGAGAAAGAAAGCGAAGTTTTGTAATTCTTGTCTATCAGATTAGCGCAAGAAGAAAGAAAAAGAAAAGAAGCAAAACAGTGTCGCCGAGGCGTGAGCAGGAGGAGGACGCAACCTCATTCAGATGAAACTGCAACTTGAGTTATTTTCATGATATGATACTCTTATATAGTAGATGAGTTCATCCGTGGACAACCATTTCAAACGGTTTACGGTGACTCAATTTTTTTAAAAAGTTGTTATAATTTAAAAATAAAATAAAAGAAGATCTTTTTATTAAATATTTGATTTTGAATTAAAAGATTGATTAAATTGATAAATATTTTATATTGTTGATGGATTTTATCATTTTATAAATAAAAAAAATATTCGTAACTTATATTATCGATATGATATATTTAAATTTTTATAATTAAAAAATTTTAACCCCTCCTTTTACATAGTGATAGTTCCATACCAATCAACAAATTGCTATTTTATTCCGGCCCTTTTTTTTCGATTTTGTCTTCTGGATTGACAGAACAATTAACAAATGTTATTAAAAAAAAGACTTCGTTAATATCTATTTCTTGGGATAGAATATGAAATAAACATGAAATATCTGATAGCAGCATTAAGCATTTAGCCTTTCTTGAATGTCAAAGAAATAGGCTGGAGAGAAAAAAAAATAATAAATAAAAAGTTAAAAGGTGTGAGATTGCTTGTTATTTTTAATATACTAGTATTTTAGTCATGTAATTCATCTACTAAATATTTATTATATATAAATATAAATATAATATATAAATTATATTTAAAATTTGTATAAATAGATATTTTAAACATATAAATTTTATTATAAATTTATGATAAATAATTTATATAATAACATAATATTATTTTTATTTTGTATAATTTATTT